GTTCTGTCGGGGAAACCCGCTCCAAGGGCAGACGCAGAGCGGGCGGGCACAAGCGGACATCTGTCCGGGTGGCTTACAACCAGCGACCAAGCCCGCTGAGCCCCCTTCCCCCAGGCTTGTGTCAAGGGCGTGGACCGCTCCGTGGCTGGGTCCCCGTTTAGGGTGGGAGCGACCCCTCTCCTCTCATGTATCTGCCACCCCACTGCTTCTCTCTTGACCCTAATTAAACCTGGACAGCTTTGGGTGGATGCAGTGGGGGCGGGGGAACCTGAGCGAAGACAATTAGGGGCAGCTCCAGCAGGTGTCTGGGATGTCTCACCCCATAGCTGGGGCAGAACCCGGGGCCTCTCTTCTGGGTAAGCAATTTTAACTACATTCCGAGCTTCTGGGAGTTCCTAATTGTCGAAATAGCTTGGGACTGAAAAAAAAATTCCAGTAATGGTATAAAAATGAAGAAAAATCGAAACAGAAACCTCTCTGGATGCCCATTCTAGGATGTGTGGCCACAGTCATGATGCCTATTTCTCCCCTGGACTTTTTCAGGCATGGGCGTGGACTCACTTCCTGTTCACATTTATAAGCCGACCCTTTGTGCTCAGGCTATTAAAACAGTAAAGTGCATTGTAAAAGTCTCAGTTCCCTTTTACTACAATAGAAACACGTCTACAGAGGACAGTCGAGACCAGGAAACCACCTATCTCCCACAGCCCACCCCGGCCAGACCTCTTCTTTTCCTTCCTGTAGCTTCCTTTGGAGTCTGTTACTTAACAGAGGAGTGTGAATTTTCAGTGTCATTCCACTTCATAAGTAATCTCACAATATGTTTGTTTGTTTGAATTTTATGAGTTGGAGAGATGGATCAGTGGTTGAGAGCACTAGCTGTTCTTTCTTTCTTTCTCTCTTTCTCTCATCAGTGATGTTCTGTCTTTAAGAAAAATTACTTAACTTTATGTGCATTGGTGTGAAAGTATCAGATCCCCTGGAACTGGTGAGCTGTCATGTGGTTGCTGGGAATTGAACCCCAGTCCTCTGGAAGAGCAGTCAGTGCTCTTAATCACTGAGCCATCTCTCCAGTCCCTGCACTGGCTGCTCTTGAAGAGGACTCAAGTTAGGCCCCCAGCACCAAACGCTGGTGCACAACCCTCCTCTATACCTCCAATCCCAGGGTCATCGATGCCCTCTTCTGGCTTCAGCTCCTGTGTGATGCAGACATACATGGAGACAAAACACATAAAAATCTAAGACATGTGAATTTATTTTTACTTTGTGTTGATCTGTTTGTGAGTATGTGCTCTTGAGGCTAGAAGTGTTGGACTTCTAGGCAGGTGTTAGTCGCCTAACGGTGATGGGAACCAAAGGTGGGTCCTATGGAAAAGCAACCTGTTCTTTTAACAACTGAACTATCTGTTCACACCTCTCTTTTTGAGACAGGGTCTTCCAGACTGGCATCACATTTGCTAGTTAGCCAAAACCACTTTAATGTTATCCCCCTGCAGGCCTGGTTTCATTCTGTGCTAGAGATTGGACTCAGGCAAGCACTTCACCAACTGAGATATATCCCAGCCCCTGTCTTATTAAGTTGTCCAGGCTGGCCAACTTAGTACCCCTGCCTCAGACCACCAATTGCCTGGGATTGTTAAGTAGGTGGTGTGGAATATAGGCTAGTAGTCCTTTGCTGTATGTCTAATATTCCAATATGAGTGAGTATATACCATGCTTGTCTTTCTGTTACTGGGTTACCTCCCTCGGGATTTTTTTTTCCAGTTTCATTCATTTGCCTGCGAATTTCAAGATTTTGTTGTTTTTTTCCTGCTAAGTAATACTCAATTGTGTAAATATACCACATTTTCTCCATGCATTCTTCGGTTCAGGGGCATCAAGGTTGCTTCCACATTCTGGCTATGACAAACAATGTTGCTATGAACATGGTTGAACAGATGTCCTTGTTGTATGAATGTGCAGCCTTTCGGTATATGCCTAAGAGTGGAATTGCTGGATCTTGTGGTAGACTGATTCCCATTTTCCTGAGAAACTGCCATACTGATTTCCAAAGTGGTCAAACAAGTTTGCACTCCCACCAGCAGTGGAAGAGTATTCCCCTTTTTCCACATCCTCTCCAGCATAAAATGTCGCTGGTGTAAGATGGTATCTCAGAGTTGTTTCGATTTGCATTTCCTTGATGGCTAAGGATGTTGAACTTTTTAAAGTGTCTTTCAGCCATTTTAGATTCCTCTATTGAGAATTCTCTATTTAGTTCTGTGCCCCACTTTTAATTGGATTATTTGGTGTTTTGGTGGCTAGCTTCTTTAGTTCTTTGTATACTTTGGAAATCATCCCTCTGTCAGATGTGGGGTTGGTGAATATCTTCTCCCATTCTGTAGGCTGCCATAGTTGTCTCTTTTTAAGATAAAAAATACTGAGTGGCCTACCAGGTATTATTTAAGGGCTTTCTTTAAAAATATTTTTACTACATTTTGTCCCCCCCTCTGGAGAAGAAGTCAAAGAACAACTTGGGGGTAGGGTAGTTGGTTCTCTCCTTCCACCATGTGAGTTCTACGGGTTGAACTCAGGCTGTCTGGTTTAGCAGAAAGCGTCTTTACCCAATGAGCCATCTCACAGTCCAGGACAAAGCAGGTTACTATATTCTACTGCCAAGGCAAGCTCTCTTCTCATTTTTCTTTCCCTTGCTCCTTTGTGGTCAGTAGCTGTGCAGTGTGATGTGGGTGGGTGGTGAAGCAGTTAACTTCCTTCCCCTCTTCCTGGCTCACTGGGATGCCTTCTTCTCCTCACCCAACATTTCCATGAGTTAGAATGATCCTGGCTCAAATTTAGGGAAGGGAAGCAAAAAGAGTGCTGGAGCCTGCCCCAATTTGGCAATGAAGATTGGGCACTAAGACACAAGACAAAAAATGGAGGCACTGTGTTGCCTCGACCATGTGTGTTGGTGTATGATTCCATGCCTCAGGACAGTCAAGTTGCTTTTAAATAAAAAAATAGATTAACTCTCTCTCTCTCTCTCTCTCTCTCTCTCTCTCTGTGTGTGTGTGTGTGTGTTTGTGTGTGTGTAACACACACTGGAGCACACACACATGTGTTTGTGATGGTGCATATGTCAGTGGACAACTTACAAGAGTTGATTCTCTTTGTCTGCCATATGGGTCCCAGGGATTAAACCCAGACGCTCATGCTTACTAGCAAGTGCTTTTACTCACTGAGCCATCTCATTGGCCCCAGTTGCTTTTCTTTTGTTTCTTTCTCTTTTTTTCTAAAAGATCTTATTTATTTATTATGTATACATTATGTATATTATTTATTATGTATACAACATTCTGCTTCCATGTATATCTACACACCAGAAGAGGGCACCAGATCTCATAACAGATGGTTGTGAGCCACCATGTGGTTGCTGGGAATTGAACTCGGGACCTCTGGAAGAGCAGTCAGTGCTCTTAACCTTCGAGCCATCTCTCCAGCCCTGCCCATTTGCTTTTCTAATTAAGCACATTTCACATATAAGGCAGCTGAGACTTTAAGCCATGGTTAAGTGTTTTTTGTTTGTTTGTTTGTTTGTTTGTTTTTTGCTTTTGTTTTTTGTTTTGTTTTGGTTTGGTTTTGGTTTTTTGAGACAGGGTTTCTTTGTATAGCTTTGGCTATCCTGGAACTTGCATTATAGACCAGGCTGGCCTCAAACTCACAGAGATCTGCCTGCCTCTGTGTCCCAAGTACCTGGAAGCAGTTAAGTATTTTTTGTCACCTTGTTTATAAGTGCTTGACTGCCTTACCAACATGAAGAGGGGCATCTCTTCCCACTTTTTCTCAGTTTCTACATGTATTCCCAAAAGTGTGAAGTCACAAACAGGGCACACTTCCCCTTTCTTTCCCTATTCTTCTGTGGGCTCCTGCCCCATTGGTAGTTTGTAAAACTAAGGGTTGGAGCCAAGGCAAAGCCAAACCATGTACTGGTGACATTTTTGGTTCTACTAGCTGTGATCAGATCTCCTTTTCCATTATGGCAACGTGTGGACTCCGTTCCCTTGAGGCCATGGAACCCCCTGCTGCTTTCTGCTCACCACTTCCCTCTACCTCTGCAGTCTCTGGGATCTCCCTTACTTTCCTAGTTTTAGGAGGACTAGCCTTCAGTCACTTCCTCTTGTTCCCAGTGTCCTCCTGGCTCCTGTTATTATACCCATGCTAATCTGACTCAAGTACTTTTCCAAAAGGGGTGTGGCTGTACCCTATGATATTTTATGGCTGTTCCTACTGCTATGGGACAAGGTCAACAAGTTTCCTTTTTTCCTTCGGCATGTATTCCAGGCTAGCTGACCCTGGCTTATGAGTTTATGTATGAATACATGTAAATTATAAATGTATATTTAAAGGTAAAGCTGTTGTACCCATACACATAAAGTAAATAAATAAATCCTGTTCCCCCATCTAGGTCTAGAGGAGGAACAGAGGTGACAAGAGGAAGCTAACGCTATGGGAGAAAGATGGAATGAGAACAGGCAATACAAGATGGCCACTGGTTACTCTTGAGGAAATGAGTGGACAGACAGGTCACTGGAAGGGACATTGACATAGAGTACCTTCCTAAGGTACTTTCTGCTCACCCAAATCAAAGGATCCTTAGACGGAGCCCAAACATCACCTCTTCCCTAGCCTTCAGTTGGCATCTAAAGGAACTTTTTCTTTTTCCTTCCTTCCTTCCTTCATCCCCCCTCTCTCTCCTTTATTTCTCTATCTCTTTTGTTGTTGTTTTTGTTTGTGTGTGTGTGTTTGTTTTGGCGGTCTCCTGTTGCTCAGGCTGGGCTCAAAGCCACTAAATTGTCAAGG